ATGGTCAAAGTAATAGTCCTGTTAATGTAGATCTACACTCACTGGCCATTTTATTAGGTACACCTTGCTAGTAGCGGGTTGGACCCACTTTTGCCTTTAGAACTGCTATAATTCCTCATGGTATATAATTCAACAAGGTGTTGGAAACATACCTCAGAGATTTTGGTCTATAGTGATATGAGTTACTGTTGCCTTTCTATCATCTCGAACCAGTCTGCCCATTCTCCTCTGACATCAGCCGCTCTCTGTATATTTTCTCTTTTTCGGACCATTCTCTGTAAACCCTACAGATGGTTGTGCATAAAAATCTCAGTAGATCAGCAGATTTGAAATGCTCAGAACAGCCCGCCTGGCACCAACAACCATGCCATGTTCAAAGTCACCTAAATCCCCTTTCTTCCCCATTCTGATGCTTGGTTTGAACTTTAGCAAGTTGTCTTCACCTTGTCTAGATGCTTAAATGCATTGAGTTGCTACCATGTGATTGGCTGATTTGCAATTTGTGTTACCAAACAATTGAACAGGTGTACCTAATAAATTGGCAGGTGAGTGTAAATCTAATCATTAAAATAAGCTTCAATTAATGTAATTTTGAAGCCAATTAATAACTTCAGCTATCACTAAAATAACTCCTGGACACCTGGTGGTCCTAATCATTAGGTCCTTGTTCTGAAACTTCCTGGTATGGGATGCCGACTGTCTCCCAGAAGTGCTCCTGTGTTGTGACATGCCTGGTCACATGCACCCCCTGGTGGAGACAACCAGCGGGGATGCTGACAGATACTGTGCATACATGGTCCACCATGAAGCCAAACTAAAGCAACAATGTGAGGTTGATATTGGAGCAAATACATGTAGACAAGATGTTGCTGAATGAAGCTTGAGAAGATCAGCAAGAATGAGATTGAAAAAAGTTAAAAATGTGAAAACAACATTTAGTGAAAATGATAAGTCAATGATACACCGTGCTTGAACAAAAGAATGTTGTCAAATTAAGCTTTAGATCTACTTTAATTGGTCATAAATGAGCAAGTCTCCTATACTGTACAGTATATTTTTAAAAAAGATAGACTGACCCACGAGGATCGTATGTTCTCTGCCTGTTTTGATGGAAACAATTAAAGTAAACAGGGAAGAAGGAAGCAGTGTTTAATTGGTTAGAGTAGTTTTACTGGGCACATTGTAATATCTAAATTTAGTTGTAGACTTTTACAGTACCTGTACTGTTCCACAGTTCAGTCTAATTTCAAACTAAAAATGTTTTTTTTTTTTTTTTGCAAAATGAGGAAAGTTATACATGTTGATTGTGCCTACATTGGGGGATTTCTAATTTCTTGTTTTGCCAACACCCTGTGTATTGAGGAGTGACCAGGGGTCAGCAGAATCGCATTTGAGGGAAATCTTCCCAATGTGAACCCAATTCTAAACCTTTTAGTTCTGACAAATAAAAAAAATGTTTGCCTGGATTTGGCTGGAGGAGGCAAGTACAGACCTGTGTATGTGTGTATAGAGGATAAGAGGGGGTTAGGGAATTTGTATTTTATAGTTGTCTATAGACTTAAGATGGACATCTCCATATACAAGAATTTAGATTTAGTCACATGCATAGCCATATGAAGCGCTGTAACACACATATTTTTATCCTACATTCAGGGGATATGTGATAACTCACTTCAAACAATTAAGGACATAGCCCGCTCACTGAATTCTTCTTTTTCAGAGGCTTTCTTGCCCATTTTTATTAAAAGAAAGTTCAAAAAAACAAAACTGATCAGTTTCCTTTGCAAGGGTTTTCAGCATTTATCGTCCATCCAAAGAACAAAAAAGTTTAGGCCTCCTGGCCTTTAGTCTGGTCCCACAGACCATGACACAGTACTACACTTAACAGCCCCCTGCTGCTCCGACTCATTTGTACTCCTGGAGAGAGACCTGCTCTGTTTGTCGGGTGTGGAGCCCAGAACCCTAGTTGGATCCCTCCAAAAATCCCAGCACACACCTGCCCAATGGGTGCGCTGGTGGTTCTGAAAACATGGACCTAGGATTGGAGATTTCATTCCACTCAGAAATCTCTGGGCTCCAGGTCCCAAACCTGGTTTTACCAACTGATGAGGAAACTGAAAAGTCGGTTTCCTCTGAATGACATATGTTCCCTGGAGACCCTCAACCTGCCTGGATGAGAATCCTGGGTCATTAACTCTTTTTAAAACTGGGCACAGCACAAAAAAAAAACATGAAATTTGCGTGGAATTTGTACAACAACAAATGACTGGAATGAATGACGGAGCATAAAGGCAAAAACCTTTACATTTAGACCCAAGCCTGTCTTTAATGTCTTTTGATGCTAAATACAGTATGATTAAGGAGTCCCTAGACCAGTAGTGATCAGCTATTGAGGTATAAATGGAACCTCAGCTGTGGCCTCTGACATCACTAAGGGGGGCACATTAATTTAGTACATGCTATGCTTCATAAAAGTGTCTGAGTCCGTTGACATGCTACAAGAGATAGTTAGAGCCTGTGGATATATTACAGAAGATAGTCAGAAATTGCAGGCATACTATAGCTGTAGTTGGGGACTAAAGATATGCTATAGGATCTAAAGGTAAACCACCTTGGCTTGTCACATTTCCTGCATTACCCTGAAATGCATTTTGTGTCCTATAAGTAAATAACTTACAACTCCCCAATCCCATCAACTATCCTAAGCTGAACCCTCACATACCCAATTGCTTTATTACTGTACCTGCTATGCTGACAGTTGCATCCCACATATGCAACCTCAGCTTCAACTACTTCTGGATTCAGATCTGTCAAAATCCAGACACAAGTAAGGTGCTCTGTGTCCACAATCTGCTTGGGCAATTGACACTGGTGGCATCAGGGTCTAATAGTCTCCATAAATAGAACATGTCACTACTATCACATTTCAGACCTATTAACTCCCTATATGAAAGTAGCAAATAGAAAAACATAATTACATAAGTACAAAAAAAATTACATTAATTAAAAATATTAAAATTAAAAGACCTCCTTAAACACAAAAAACACACAAATAAGCGTATATATACATGTATGTGTCTATAGCTGATTCACATAGCTGAATGTCCAACTAGTGGCTTACAGCAATATACTGTAAGTTATTGAGGGATCAGGCTGTTCTGCCAATTTCCAGACCCAAATACTCCACACAGACCTTCAAGTTTGCACACATGCATGAACGGTGGGTCTTAAAACCCCTACACTGGTGGGTTTCAAATCCTACCTGCAGCATAAACTCTTGCAGGGTGCTACATGCAGTTAGGTCCATATATGTATTTGGACAGAGACATCATTTTAGATTTTTTTCAGGTATTTACCAAAACATATTCAAGCTATAGTTATATAATGGATATGGTCTGAAGGTGCACACTCTCAGGTTTAATTTGAGGGTATGTACATGCAAATTGGAGGAAGGGTTTAGGAAATACAGCTCTTAAGAGTAGCCATCCCCCCTTTTTCAAGGGATCAAAAGCTGTTTCATGGCCAGGTGTGGGCTACTCCAATATTTCTATTGCTGTAAACCCTACATCATGCGTTCAAAGGAGCTGTCCATGCAAGTGAGACAGGCCATTGTAAGGCTTCAAAAAGGAAACAAATCCATCAGAGAGATAGCAGCAACATTAGGAGTGGTGAAATCAACAGTTTAGTACATTCTGAGGAAAGAACACACTGGTAAGCTCAGCAACATAAAAAGGCATGGACGTCCAATGAAGACAACAGTGGTGGCTGATCACAGGATCCTCTCTATGGTAAAGAAAAAAACATTCACAGCATCCAGACAAGTGAAGGAAGCTCTCCAGGAGGTGTGCGTATCATTGTCAAAGTCTACAATCAAGAGAAGACTTCATGAGAGCAAATACAAAGCCTGAAGAATAGAAAAGCCAGAATAAACTTTGCCAAAAAACATCTAAAAAAAGCCAGACCAGTTCTGGAAAATCATTCTTTGGATGGATGAAACTAAGAATAATCTGTACCACAATGATGAGAAGAAAAAAGTGCGGAGAAGTCTTGGAACAGCTCATGATCCAAAGCACACAACGTCCTCTGTAAAACATGGTGGAGGCAGTGTGATGGCATGGGCATGCATCGCTTCCACTGGCATTGGGTCATTTGTGTTTATTGATGATGTGACAGAAAACAGAAGCAGCCGGATGAATTCTGCAATGTTTACAGATATATTGTCAGCCCAGATTCAGCCAAACGCAGCAAAGTTGATTGGACGGTGCTTCATAGTACAGATGGACAATGATTCAAAACAGACAGCAAAAGCAACCCAGGAGCTTTTGAAGGAAAAGAAGAGGAATAGTCAATCACCTGATCTCAACCCAATTGAGCATGCATTTCACTTGATGTAGGCAAAACTAAAGGCAGAAAGACCCACAAAGAACAACTGAAAACAGCTGCACTTTAGAGCCTGGCAAAGCATCAGAGGAAACCCAGTATTAGGTAATGTCCATGGGTTTCAGACTTCAGCCAGTCATTTCCAGTAAAGTATTCTCAACAAAAAATTAAAAATGAACATTTTATTTATGATTATATTAATTTGTCCAATTACATTTGAGCCCCTGAAAATGGAGGGACCGTGTATAAAAATGGTTGCAGTTCCTAAAATTTTTACTTGATATTTATGTTCAATCCCTTGAATTAAAGCTGAAAGTCTGCACTTCAAATTCATTTGGATTGTTTCATTTTAATTTATGCTAGTGGTATACAGAGCCAAAAGTATGAAAATTGTGCCTGTGTCCAAATATATATGGACCTAGCTGTATTCTGTGATTTAGCTTAGGGTTCTAAAGTTAGTACAAATGCCTGAAGCCCATGTGACACTGTGGCCAATGGCACCTAGCTCATAACACAATGTTAGGGGTCCAAAACTACCATCAGGATGGTAAACCTCATTCCAGCTAGCGATCCCCAGCTCCTAGGTGGATCTGAAAATATTTTAAATAGTATTGGGACACCCCTCCAAATCATTGGATTTAGGTGTTCCAGTCAGCTCCATGGCCTCAAGTGTATAAAATCAAGCACCTAGACATGCAGACTGCTTCTACAAATATTTGTGAAAGAATGGGTTGCTCTCGGGAGCTCGGTGAATTCAAGCGTGGTACCGTGGTAGGTTGCCACCTGTGCAATAATTCCATTTGTGAAATTTCCTGGCTACTAAATATTCCATGGTCAACTGTTAGTGGTATTATAACAAAGTGGAAGCAACTGGGAACAACAGCAATGAAGCCATCAAGTGGTAGGCCATGTAAAATGACAGAGCGGGGTCAGCGCATGCTAAAGCGCACAGTGATTGTCACGGTCTGGGTCAGGTTCAGAGACCAGTTGCTATAGCAGTAAAAGGCTTACCTGAAACCAGCAGGATCGGTATACCAGTGGGTCACCCTGAGAAACAGCACAGGCTCACCTGAGGTGCGGGGTCTAAGTATTAACCGGTTTTCACCAGAGCTCCTAGTGGTGGAGAAGGATTTGGCTGCGTGTTAACACCAGGTCGCAGATTTCAGGATCACCCCACCAGGGAATGAGCAAGCTGGAAACCAATAGCAGATCAAACAGGTTAGGGATCAAACAGAAGCGGAGTCAGTCACAAGCCAAGGGTCGGTCACAAATGGTAGCAGATGAGGATGAGGCAAAATCGTAGTCAGTAGCAAGCCAAAGGTCAATAGCAAAGATGTAGACGGCAGCAACAACGATAAGCGGGATATTGGCTGGGAAGGCACAATAATCTGGCAAGGAGGAAGTGCATGGACATGGCTTTTATCAGGAAGTTCATGGGAGGAGCAAGGAGTTCAATGTTCAAGAGAAAACAAGGCTCAAGGCAGGATTATCCAATAGATCAGGCACAGTGTAGTCCAGCATCCCAGGTAGCTCAGTGAGAAGAAACATTGCCTCTCACTCCCGAAGGCCCAGGTTTGATCCCAGGCTCTGACAGTGCGCAGAAGTCACCAACTATCTGCAGAGTCAATAGCTAAAGACCTCCAAACTTCGTGTGGCCCTCAGATTAGCACAAGAACAATGCGTAAAGAGCTTTCAACGAATGGGTTTCCATTTCCAAGTAGCTGTATCCAAGCTCTACATCACCAAGTGCAATGCAAAGCATCGGATGCAGTGGAGTAGAACATGCCGCCACTGATATCTAGCGCAGTAGAGACATGTTCTCTGGAGTGATGAACCATGGTTTTCTGTCAATCCCACAAACGTGTTTGGGTTTGGCAGTTGCCAGGAGAACCGTACTTGTCTGACTGCATTGTGTAAAGTTTGGTGGAGGGGAGATTATGGTGTGGTGTTGTTTTTCAGGGGTTGGGCTTGGCTCTTTAGTTCCAGTGAAGGGAACTCTTAAGGCATCAGCATACCAAGACATTTTGGACAATTTCATGCTCTCAATTTGTGGGAACAATTTGGGGATGGCCCCTTCCTGTTCCAACATGACTGCATACCAGTGAACAAAGCAAGTCCATAAAAGACATGGACAAGCAAGTTTGGGGTGGAGGAACTTGACTGGCCTACACCAAGTCCTGACCTCAACTTAATAGAACACCTTTGGGATGAATTAGAGTGGAGACTGTGAGCCAGGCTTTCTTGTCCGACATCAATGTCTGACCTCACAGATTCGCTTCTGGAAGAATGGTCAAACCTTCTGGACAGCCTTCTCAGAAGAGTGGAAGCTGTTATAGCTGCAAAGGGTGGGCCAACTCAATATTGAACCCTACGGACTAAGACTGGGAGGCCATAAAGTGTAGATTATGCATTTAACCAGGGCTTTTTTTGTAAAAGAACAGGTACAGGAACTCCCCCTTTTAAGTCTCTTAGATTGTAAGCTCCAAGGAGCAGGGCCCTCCTAACCGTCTTGTATTGAACTGTATTGTTGCTGTATGGTCTCCTTTTATATTGTAAAGCGCTGAGCAAACTGTTGGTGCCATATAAATCCTGTATAAATAATAATAAAAGTTACCTCGTCTCCACCCCCTACCCACTTCCAAGCATTGGCCCTTGGTCTCACCTCCCAGTACTGCCCCATGTAGAGAATACAGAAGTATAATTTTCTGGTGTCCCCCCAGCAACAATAGACCCCCTCACAGCAAAATACCCCAGAAACAAAAGATCCACCCCAGCATTAACAGACCACCACCAGCAACAATAGAGATCCCAGGAACCAGCACCAATAGACCCTCCAACATCAAAAACCCCTCCCTCAACAATATATCCCTCCCAGCAGGATTATGTCTCAATCATCAATATCCATCAGCAGATGGCATCATCACACTGCAGGCAAGTTCCATGACCCAGGACAACATTTATGCCACATCTTGCCCTTTGATCTATCAGTGATAGACAGCTCATCAGAAATTCTCCCTCATAAACCACAGTGGGAAGGTATATGCCAAACTTCTCCAAAGTGATTAATCCTTATTTGCGACCTCCTGTTATAAACACCCTGCCTATGTAATCCTGTTTCACTGGTTTTTAAGATGGCCTTCAGCAGTGAGCAGCTGTTTTTTTGATAACCAGACAGAACTAGACCAGAAATGTCTAATATAAAGTGTGTTGTCAGACCAGCGCATGCCATAAGCACAAAAGAGATGACATTGAGATAAGCATTAAAGTAATAATGAAAAATAATTCAGCCGAGTGGAGCTCAATATTTCCTATACAGGGTAAATGTTCTGTTCACCTGGTATAAGGGTAATTTGGAAAGAGGACCACATACCTATTTACTATAAAGAAGAGTGGAAGCGCACCCACCCACATAGGATCCCCTCTGGATCATTCAATGGAATTTAAAAGGCATGCATGGGAGCTTGTTGAAACTCGGCTGGCAAGGCTGACTTTTATGTTACACATTCATTACTGGCCAGGGACTCTCAAGCTTTGTCATTTGGTTCTGAAGGTAAACAAAACCATTCATATGACTAGGTGAGGTGTAAATCACTTTACAGTTCAGTACTAAGATAAAAACACAAATCCATCCATAAATGTAAATTTTGTACATTGTTGCGTGCCAAAGTAGATAACCTTTGAGGTGTGCAGGCAAAGTGCACAAGAGTGCTTTCTTGGACTCTTCCGAGTGTTGGTGTACATTGTTTTGGATCTCTCTAAGGATTGGTGTGCCTTGTTTTGGATCCCTTCAAGCGTTGAAGTACTTTGTTTAGGATCCCCCCAAATGTTGGTATGCTTTGTTTTAGAGCCCTTTAAGTGTTGAAGTACTTTGTTTAGCATCCCCCCAAATGTCGGTGTGCCTTGTTGTGAAACCCTTCAATTGTTAGTGGTTCCCAGAATAGGGCACACAGACACTTGGTGGGTCTCAGAACACAAACACTAAGTGTTGGAGGATCCCAGAACATGGGTGCAACAAGTGTTGATGTGCCTTGTCCTGTGACCCTCTAAGTAGAAGGGAGTTTTTTTCTCACACTGATGTTGGAGAATTTCTTTCTTCACCACTGTTACCCCCATATGTTGATCTGCTATTAAAATCTTTACTTCTCTGTGGTGTGCCACAAACAGTTTGTACTATATTAGCATATGCCACAACCATTACATACAGTGTGCTGCACCTGCCCTTATTAGCCCCACCCCCTATTCGATCCCCTGCCCCCTCCCCTATTTTCAGGCTTGCTGGCTTACAAAGGTTCATAGGTATGCCAATAAGGATTGCTCATTAGAAGGCTGCAATTTATGAGAATAGAGTTTATGCCCCTCTAATTACATCACCAGACCAAAAAGGAAATATATTATTTTGTAAGGGACCTCCAAATGTGGCATTAATGCCCTACAAGCTTACGATAAAGCAGCATTCCAGCTTCTTAAGTAAAGGTCCACCTTGAAACTATAAAAAAGGTTGGTAGAAATATAAAATTGTATTAATTTTGTTTTGGCCAGCTCGGCTGTTTTAAAAATTAGCCAGATGTATTCCTAAATATAACTAGATATTAACATTATGGGAAATAACCAAAGGGGGATTGGAAAGGAATTTATTTTTCCCCCACTGCAGTAAACTTGGTCACACTTTATGGATTTTTTTGTCTTCCTCTGGATCAACTGTGGGGAAAGGGTTCTGTAATTTATTGGCAGAACTAGATGAATTTGTGCCTTTTTTTAACTTGACAATGTATCAAACGATACATAACTTTAAATTGTTGCTTATTAAATCATATTATAATATTTTTTGGCAGACAAGTTAATTATTTTCTCTGACCTGTAGATTTTTCAGACTCTGTCAGCCTTTGTGCAGCTTGGAAGTGGCATTGCATTGTCATATAATAAACAAAATGATGGGTCACGGTCATTATCTTGTGCCATCGTCTTCTGGGCACCGGTGTTTGTAAGTATTAAAAACAAGCCATAGCTTACATTGTACTGGTACATAATGTCCTTATGTTTTGTTGTTTTTAAGGGTCAGTCCATACAAAAGTGTAATTTTAGATATAGGTGGAGCCCTGTAAGCTGGGTTAGTCGCATGCTTCTTATATGTCATTGATACTCCACCAGTGAGATCTTCCTGCCATAATTTCTGACCACCTGGAAGTTTTGGATGTTCCCTTCAGCTGTGTGAGTCCCAGCTCCTCCTGTTACATTCTCCATTATATGAAATAAATATAAAATACAGCAGGGATGAGTAGTAGGTGTGCAGAGACATTAAAAGAAAGGTTTCACCAACAAAGACCAAAAGAAGATGCAGGCAGGATGTTTGTCTATTCTAACTGACAAAAAAGGTGAGATGGGGGAGCCATAGAAATTACAGCTGGCACACACATCACACAATTTTTTTTTAGTGTGGCAGTGTGTCAGTTTTTCTCTACTGAAAGCATGCAGGATGAAATGATAATACGAAAGAATAGTAGGAAGGTATGCCATAGCATGCCTTATCTACAGTATAAAAGTGTCAGAAGTGCCACATGCAAAATGAACGAAGATGTAGCGAAGATTAGAACACATACAGCTACGTACAGTGCTCAGAATAAATTAGTATCAACCTTTTGAAAAGAAGGATTTTAATCAATATCTCAATGAACACAAAAACATTTTCCAAAATGTTGACAAAACTGAGTTTTATAGAACATTTGTTTAGCTCATTACATGAAAGTAAAGGTTAATAATATAACTTAAATCACAAAATCTTCAGTTTTACTCAAATTAGTTGTAGTAGTAGATGCAAATGTGAATACACCCCACAACAAAAACTTCTACATCTAGTATTTTGTATGACCTCCATGATTTGTAAGGACAGCACCAAGTCTTCTAGGCATGGAATGAACAAATTGGTGACATCGATCTTTTTCCATTCTTCAAGAATGACCTCTTTGAGCCTGGATGTTTGATGGAGAGTGATGCTCAGCTTGTCTCCTCAGAATTCCCCATAGGTGTTCGATTAGGCTCAGGTCAG